TTGACACAAAATTTGATACATGATAACTGTTGTTCTTTATGGTAGAAAGCTACTCAAATATAAGGATGAAGAAAAGTAAAAAAATTGATTAATATAGCTTGTTTTATTTGTTTTAGGATATTTTGACAAATTGGCAGTGAGCTAGAAAATCATTATACTGTTGATACTGGAAAAAAATAGTTATAGACAGATTCGAACACAAATTATTGTTACTGCAATATGTGTGAAAGTATGTGCATATGTATACAAATGCATGAGTAGCATTCTTCCTTAAGGCACAGTCTTCATATTTTCTGCTTTTGGTTCAGCTTTAAGTTTTTCAACTGCCATGACTTTTGTGAAGGTTTAAGTAATAACATATACATATATTTCTCAAATTATTTCATCATTTATTATTTTTGGTACTTTTTAAGTATTACTGCCATTAATGTCAAGTAATTTAAAACTTTTGTTTTTATAAGCTTGTTATAAATCTTGTGTTAAATTGAATGTAATATTAGATGCATATTTAATTATAAATTATATTTCAATATATTATTTTTGGTGGATACCACTAAAATTGGGATTTTGGGCTATATTTTACCCAGGCATGTTTTAATTTTAAATTAGTATTTAGTAAAAGCTTCTGAAATATTATCATATTTTAACATATTAATATATTTAATATAAGTTTAAATGTTTCCATCCAATGTTCCATACCTTGAAGTATTCAAAATTTAATTTTTTTATTTGAATTGAAAGATGTTTTTTGGTGTCATTTTGGGTATTCTGTCCCAACCACGTTGTATTTATAGAGGGCGCAATATCCTTGCTAGAAAATGTGTTGGTATTAATCAGCTTTTAAGTAGTTGTTAAAGGTAGTTTGACCTTAAGGTCATACATCCTGGTATTTTATTCTGCAACTGCCTATTACATTTTCTCAGGAAAGTTTTGACTTTTGTTTTGAAAATAAGAATTCCAAGAGGTGTGACTGTAACAGACATACAGCTTTGGTAGCAGAAAAACCGTGCCCTCAATGTCAAATCTGAAATTTATTTTGTTATTTTTCATACAAATTTCCATAACCGTGCAATTTTGTGAATTTTTAAAACAATTAATTCTTGTAGTGTAACTTGGTTTATAGAGGTGGTAGACATTTTTTTAAAAACTTTTGGATGGATTTTTGGTTTTGTCATTTATTTATTTATTATATTAAATTAAAATTTCTCTGAAACTTTGTGTGTTTTGTTTTCTTGATACATGTACCAGTAAGTACTGTAAACTGGTTTAATATTTCGAGAAACTAATTTTGCTAGTCAGTTGAAATCACGTTATTTTCTAGCAGTGTGAACACTTCTCTGGGTTTCTATAATTTCATGAAATCAAGACTTTACTAGAACCAAACTTCAATCTATTTGCAACACCACTGAACCACTAAAAGATCGGTGTACATTCCCCATGCCAGTCGACACTCTGAGAAACTATCAACATATTGTTGATGCTAATAGCACAGTTTGTCCCAGTCAAAGGCGAACCCCTTTACTGTGATCACGATTCAGAATTGCAGACAATCTAACATAGAAGAATTTCTGGGACGCCAACATATTTTTTTATGTTTATACATTGTAGGCTCAAATCAGCACATTATTATTCAAAAAGGACAGTGAGCTCCATGCTCCAGTCCCTTCATCACAGTTCAATTATTGAGAGCCACTAAAGGGTATTGCCGAACTTGATGTCTTCAACATAAAAAAATATCACTATTAGAGGCTAATATAGGGCACAAATTGCTCTATCTATTAAAACATGGCCAAGAGTGATGCTGATAAAGCTTTTATCAAAGAGTTGAAACCAAGGATCACCATACCATCTGGGTCTGTTTTTAGTTCCTGTTCTGACGTGGATGACCTCTATGCGCGTGTCCATGTGTGCGTACATCCAGACTATATCATTTTGTTTCATGATCTGATTCAAGATGGATGAATGGCGGCAATTTTCATAGTGAAATCGAGCAATTCTGGCATTCTGGAACTGGATCTAGACTGTTTACAGATGGATTTTGTTCAAACTTGGTATATACATTGGACATTATGGGATCTTGATGCACGTCATTTTGTTTTTCAGATCAGATTCAAATTGGCAGACTGATGGCCATTCTGTTTTAATTATTGCTGTTCTTGAGCAATATCTCTCAAAGCACTTGTTTGATGATCAGGTACAAGATGACTGAATGTCTTCCATTTTAATGTTAAAAGTTCATCACAATCAAGCATGAGCTTCGGAATCCATATCTCTGACATGTTTATGTCCCAACTATATTACTATAAACAATATATCTTAAATTTGATAACTAACTGGGAATGTGCCATGCATGGCTTGTTTACTCTGTTTGTGAAGCACACTGGGATCTTTGTGGTTACCCTGTGTTTGTGTATGACTTTTCTATCAAGAATCAATCAGTGCATTTAAATGAAACTTGATACATAATTGATGTGGAACAATTCAAAGCCCTGATTAGTTTTGGGTAAATATCTATGCATATTAGTTCTCACAAAGATACAAGAGGGCAAAATCTATTGGTTTCCATTTGATTTGTTGTTACGCGCACACTGTTTGATTGATCCGTGTCTCTGGTGGCGTGCGCTGAGAATCAAATACAGTTTTTCGTAACATGATCACACACAATTTCATAATGGCAGCCATGGAAGGTCGCTTCAGCGAAACTACTAACAAGTTGAACAGTTGTGAAGTATGTAATGTATTGTATTGTATGATGTATCACAACATCGGTTGATGGTGAGGTAGTCTGAGTCCATGCATTAATTATGCAAAAATTAAATGGCCAATAACTGTTGCATCTTTCCAAGGATCATTGATGTTGAATAAATGCAAATATTGAAGAGATGCAGTGTTTGCAACTATTTTTATTTTTTTTACCAAACCATATATGTACACATGTATAATAATAAAAAAGCTTAGGTTCACATAGAATAAAATATGTATAAAGCAAAAAGTACATGATGTATATAGTCAATCAGCAAATAATACAGAACAAGTAGTCTACGCCTATGACCATTGCCAACACACCATGGAAGGCTGCTTACTAGTACTTTTATCAGCTACTATATCTGAAATGGATTTTAAGTCTGATGTAGTCCAAAACAGAGACATGATTTGGGAAGCATTTGTGTATGCAAGTAATTTCTTTGACATTTCATTTCTTACTGATTTTGCTCAAAATTGGTACAACTACGGCACATGTACATATGCACATCAATTTGTCTTTCTGGTTCATTGAAATATGACTCAATGGAAGCCAAGATTTCAACATGTCTGAGCCAGCTTCATTCAAACTTGCTCCATGATTGGTTACTTGTGCATGTCCTAAATGTTTTGAGTTTGAATTCAAGATTGTAGATTGATTTTATTTAAATACAGTATGCAATTTGTTTCCAGTTTTAATGAGATTTTCTCAAAATCTTTTTTCTAATATGTGAATTTCAACACTGACAAGTTTACATGTTTTAAATGTTATTATATAAACTAACATGATTATTGAACTCAGTGACAGAGACTTACAGATTGTTTTTTCATCTCAGTGACAGAGACTTACAGATTGTTTTTTCATCTTTCTTACATGAGATCTTTCATGAGCAAGTAGTTGATCTCTACGGTAAAAAGTATGACAACAAATGGAACACTGATATGGCCGTTCACCACCATGCCGCAACATGTGTCGTTTCACATTGTACGAATTGGTGAAAAATGTATTGCAAATTTCACATTTGTATGGACTTATGTTTTCATGCGTGTATCGGTGGCCTTTCAGATGAGAGCTTCGAGCAAATTTTCGACCACATACATCACAGCTAAATGGCTTCAAACCAGCGTGTACATTCCTATGTTGTTTTAGATTAGCAAATTTTTTAAAGGTTTCTCCACACTCATGACAAATGTACGGCCTGTCACTGTGTTTAGTCACAAGATGTTTATCCAGCTGTTGTTTACTATCAAAAGTATGATTGCAATGAATGCACTGTAACAACATTGCTCCAAGAGCAATTTCCTGACTTTCTTCAATGAATGAGTCTAGACTTGTGTTTCTTTCGCTAATGTCATCTTGATTGTTATAAGTTTGTTCAATGTCATTACTGAAACCATCCATGTTGACCTCATTCATTTGTTTAGTTTCCTTGCATGTTAAATTTGTTGTATCACCTTCATGTTTGATGTGTATCTCCAATGTCTCCCCACCTCCATATACACAGTCAGAATCTTTCATCTGCACAATATTTTCACCAGTAAATACTTCATGGGTGCCATCAACACCAATGCTACTTGTGTTATCATTGAATCTGTTTAGATTGACCTGGTCACTACTAGCATTATCATTGAATCTGTTCAGACTGACCTGCTCACACAAATAATTAGTATTTTCCTCTTCCTTCACGTAACACAAATCATTGTTAATTTCTGTTACTTTGCTATTTCCTTTGTCATTGTCATTAACTGAATATTCATCAGTGTCGTGTAGTTCAAAATCTTCAGGTTCGTAATCACCAGCAGTGTCAGATTCAGCATGGTTATAACTATATTTATCTCCACTATTCTTTGTACACAAGTTATTTATTGGTTGTCCTGTTTCGCCGTCTACAGATATGTGATTTTTCATATCACATTTTAAACCTAGGTGGCAGTATTCGTTGAGAAGTTGTCGACTGGCATAGCAGTGCGACGATGTATTATTCTCATCCAAATCATCTATACGAATGAATATCTTGCATCCAGTCATTAGAGCAAATGCATGACCCTGTATTGTGAAATGAAAAGTGGAAACAAAAGAAGTTATGATAATGCACAGTATATTGCTACACTGAAAACGAGTGTGAAGACAGCGCTCGGTTCATTTCACATTTGATTCATGTACGATTCGCGTTCAATTCATGTACGATTGAAATACCTATAATTCACTCAAATGTTAATATATAGCAATTTCAGCTAATTTAATGATAATTTTCTGCGAGGAAAAATTTAGTATTTCCTGTGGAAATCAAGGTTAAAAATACTTTTATAGTGTGCATGACAGTTTCTTGACAAGTCTGTCAAATGCGCAGAAGGTCAAAGGACAACGATTATTAAAAACATCAACGTCCTTGTTTCCAAGACTTTATTTGTTTTTTAAATTTAGTGGTGATAATTTGAGACTATATATATTTTTTTACATAAGATTCATGTTCCTTTAACATATTTATGTGTTTCTCGTCTGTTTCTACGGCTATTTCATACTTGTTTGATTGCACGTGACTTCCGATGTGAGAGAGACTGCGGGACTATTTATAACCATGATTTTCTCCAAAAGAAATAGGCTGATCAATATTTTTTCTACACAAAATGTACTATATATAAACTTTTGTGTAAATTATAGGCGCGAAACGTTCGTCAATCGAACGTGAATCGAACCGTACGCGGTCTTCACACTCGTACACTGAAACACAAATCGGGAAAACCTATAAAGGGATTTGTAGGTCCATGTCGGAAAA